CAGCAGGACCATGCTCCAACAGCCCTCGGGCTTGACACAGGCAAGTAACAGCTAATGAACTGCAGAGAGCTGAGCTGCTTCTCATCAATATTAACATGAATCCACTGCAACTCCAAGGACACTCTTAATATGTTACCTTCAGAGCAGGTGCTTCACATCATTATCATGATGTGCAAGAGCTTTAAAGGACCAACATGCATTAAAACCTCAGTTTTACAGCATTCTGTGTGAATCCCGGCTGAAAGCCTCATTCAGCTTCTTAAATAACCATGGTTTGAAAAGAACTTTATTAAAGGAAATGTATTAGGGAGAAGAAAAAAAGGTAAATCTAATTTTCAACCCAATTTCATGCCTACATTTTATAAGACAACTTAAACTATCAAAGTTGTCAGCAACAGCAAAGGAGAATGATGCTCTCAGTGCAAGTCTGTCTGCTAAAGTTAATGCTGTTATTGACAAAGTAATACAGCAAATATCGGTGAAATTATTATTTTCCACATTCTCACTGAGAGAGTGCTCCCTCGCACAGAACTTGAATATTCAAGATGTACACTTTACAGAGTGACAGAATTGACACTGTATGAGACAATGCTAAGCACACCTCTACTCGTACAAACCAAAGCAGGCTCCAGGTTATTCATTCCCAACTCACTTTCTTCACAAGAGCATACCTGCTTCACCTGCCAGGACGAACAACCCCTTTAACAGCTGCACAGTCAAGCCAACAAATAAACGAGAATATGGACCTAGGCTGAGAATGGAAGAATTCTGCCTCCACCTCATTGCTGGGGTTACCTGCAGACCCCTGCAGCAACCAAATCTGAGTCTTTCAGGTGGCTATTGGAGAACTGAATCAGCTGCCAACATTCAAAAATGCTAAACTGTCCCTTAAAACTTCCAAGTTACCAAAGGGAACTTCCAGACTGAATGACAAAGGAGAAAAAACACAAAGTGTGGTTTCAAAAAAGGGCACAAGCAGCATGCACCGGTATCCAGCTCCAGAAGTCCTCCTGAGACACCTCGGTTAACAATCTCCTGATCTAGTCAATCCAAGCTTCTCCAAAGGGTGACACCTACATCATCACACATACAAGTGGAGGTGTGATTATTCCTCTCAAATGCAGAAACACCACCTTTCACTCCCATTAAGATCTCAAGACAGCTACTTTAAATTTGCAGTACACCTGCAACAGCACTCCAGTTTAAACAGATTTGAGATGTGATCAGGCAGCAGAAGAGGAGACAACTGTGATGCTGATTTCCACCCCTTCCCCAGCATGAAGTTAAATATAGTGATTTTTTATCGATTGGTTAAAAAAGGTGCATGCGATTTCCAGATAAAAGGGGGACTTGGATCACAGGTTTACAAAGAACAACAGTAAGGACTTCAAGCTCTAGACTTTAAAAGTCATATTAACAGTAAGATATTAAATTATTTGAACATCACCTTGATAATGTGTCTATTCCATTTAACTTCTCTCCCAGCTGT